GTCAGCAAAAAAGAGGAAGACCCTCAACAAGATGAAATGGCACAGTGGCTGCAACAATGGGCTCAAACAGCAATGACTGTGGGAATGGCACAGGACCAGGCAGTGTTTCATTCTGTTGTACACAGGGTTGCTACGAGTCTGAACTGACTCGACAGCACCTAACGACAACAACATAAAGAGATATAAATACAGATACAAATCCCAACACGTTAACAACTGTTGTTAAACCATCCAGTTGTGGGTAAGGTATCATTGCTCTGTTTTCTCAACTTTTTAGTAAGTTTAAAACATTTATAATAAAAAGCTAGGGGAGAAAATAGCCAGCACACTCCAACATTCTCGCATTTGTCCATAACTCCCCAGACTTCAGCCCTGGTACACACATGGTCTAGGTTCAAGGAGACAACTGGTTAGATTGTATCCAATGGTTCACCACCCAATAAGGAATTTGATCTCTTCCTGGGATGAAGGGATCCTCCCTACTCCTCCCGATCTCCATTCAGCCTTTTCCATACCTTAGGTGTTGTCTCTGACCATGCCCCATTCCCAAATTTCTGTGTTACTTAGGATTCTTGGTAGCAAATTCCAGAAACACAGTTCAGACAAGCTTAGATAGAAAGGTGAATTTATTGGGTGATAACCAAACCATGAGAAAGGCACGGGTGGGGCTGACAATAAAGGGGAATAAGGACCAGATAACCTCAGAAATATTCTCTGTCCATCTCTCATCTCTACTTCTAAGCGTCTGAGATTCATCTCCTCAGACATTCCTTCCCACCAGGGCTGGAATCACTGTTCTCAGTTCCTGGGCTTGTATCTGCTAACTTCGCCAAAAGAAAGGACTTCTCTTTCTTTAGTGGCAATTAAAATAAAGGACTTCGAAAGGCCTAGGTCACAGTCTGGAGTTGGGGGTAGCTGGGCTTTAATGATGAGTGGCCCATTCTTCCTGAGAGGAGGAAGGAGAGGTTCCCCAAAGGAAAGTGGGGGTACTCTTCCCAGAAGGAGGGAGAGAGACTAGACAGACAGCATCATAGATGTCCACTACATGGGTGGTGTCTGTTTTCTTCCTTTCTCATTTCTGCACTTCCCCAATTTGCTTCAATGAACATGAACTTCTTTTGTAATCAGAAAAATAACATAAATAAACATTATATTTTAAAGTATTATAAGGTGTTCCTCAAGAGAAGTGTTTCTCAGCCTAGGCACTACTGACATTTTGGGTGGGATAATTCTTTGTTGTGGGGCTGCCTGTGCACTGCAGGGTGTCTAACAGCATCCCTGGTGTCTACACACTAGATGACAGTAGCCCCCCCACCTACAAACTCGTGGAGATGCATCCACCCCCAGCACCAGCAGTCACCTCTCTCCTTCCAAAAGAAATTCTAAAATCCAGAAATATAGAGAATGGATTCAAAATCCTGGCAGGGGATGAGGAGGTCCAAGACGAGAGGCAGAGATGCTGGTTTTCTTTCAGGATCCCTCAGCAGTCAGGAGAACAATTCCTAAGAAGGAAGTACTATTATTACGCCCATTTTATGAATGAGGAAACTGAAGCTTAGAAAGGTGGAGCCATTTGCAAAGTCATGCAGTTGGTGGCAGGTCCAAAGTCTGCTTTGTTCCATACCACATTGCTTCAGGGAGGCCACGATGCCAAGGAGACATCATGGCGGAAGGTGGAAACTAGAGCTTAAAGGCTTGAGTGCATGGACATGAGGCCCAGGACATTCTGAGCACTGCCATTCAGATTCTTCCCAGGAGTCAGAAGAGAACTCAGGATGAGCCCGGGGCCATGCAGAAAGGAGTAAAGGTGGTGGTCTGGGGTGAGGCACACACAGAGAGGGCTGAGCAGAGAACATCCTGAATTTGATGTAAGAAGTCTGGCCCTGCCACTGCTGGGCTGTGTGATCTTTTTTTTCCTTTCTCTGAGTGATTACTTTCCCTTTCCTGCACCTCTGTTCCATCTTCCAAAAACAGTTTGGTCCTAGTAGCTCCTAAGAATCAAGCAGCTCTTCTCCTCACTTGAAGAAGGAAGGTCAGGTCTTGGGACAATCAGAATGATGTCCCAGCTTCTGTTCCCCTCCCTGGAAGCGGGTAGACACTTCCTGAGAGAGCTGGGAAAGTGCAGCCCTTGCCATTTGTGAACCTTTAGCCCCACCCACTGGCACGCCCAGCAGTGACCATATAAAGCAAGGCTCAGCCTCAGCTGTCAGTCAAGCACCTTCCAGCAACATGAGGTCCACCAGCTTTTTGGCCCTTACAGTGTTTCTTGTTTTTGTGACCCTGGTGGCTGGGAAAAGAACCAAAGAAGGTGAGCGGATGGGTGGACCTGGGTGGGGCTGGGATGAGGCAAGGCTCTGAGGGGCCTTCTAGAGCTCTAGGCATGGCTGGACTCCCCACCTCACCACTGTGGTCTCCTCCACCAGATAAAGTGAAAGCAGGAATTTGCCCAATTGACAGCAGACTCTGCTTTAATGCTGATCTACCCCGGTGTGAGAGAGACAAGCACTGTGTAGGGAATAAAAAGTGTTGCTTTGTGGACTGTGGCTTTAGGTGTGTGGTCCCTGTGAAGACACTGAAAAAAGGTGAGAAGCCCCTGCCCCCAGGTATGGTGCTGCTTGCTTCCACTGCCCCTATCTGTCCCATAAAAGTACCAGAGGAATCAGTCCTTTTAGTGGGGTGTAGGCAGGGATGGTTAATAACTGGCAGGGGCCCTCAGAGATCAGCTAGTCTGAACATTCCTAGTGTAGGAATGAGGAAACTGAGGGGTGAAGAAGTGTCAAGCCATCCCAGAGTGAGAAAGGGAGGCCAGGTCTCTGAGCACATGGCTCAGGGCTTGTCCGCCTCCATCAAGTTTCCTCAGAAATGATGCGACATCCTTTTCACCTCTGGGAGTCGCTCACCTGGCACCTGCCCCTGAGGGTCCTGGGGCTTGGAATGTGGGAGAAGCTGAGATGGGCACCCCAAGGCAACCCTGGTCCTGAAGTCCTTTCCCCAAAGAAAGGGAAGAGTGTCGCAAAAGTCCAGACCCCAGGGGCTAGATTTCCTTCTCTGCCCCCGGTGCCCCTCTCCCATCCCAGGCCATGGTTTGGGGTCATCGAAGTGAGTGGCGGTGCCAGGGGAAAACGTGGTAGTTGAAACAGGGCACAGGGTCTGAACATAGGCTTCCCTCCTTTTAGAAAATCCAGTCAAAGGTTACAGCCTAGTCCAAGACTCAGTCAAAGGAAGAATCAAAGGCAGAGGTCAAGTTCAACATCTAATCCAAGTCCAAGGTCAAGCCAAAAGAAAAGCCAAAGGCAAACACCAAGTTCCAGCGAAGGCCAATAAGCGTGGTGCCTGCCCCACGATTCTGACCCATTGCACTGTACTGAATCCCCCTAACCTCTGTCATAGCGACACTGAGTGCCCAGGAGCCAAAAAGTGCTGTGCAGGCCACTGTGGGATGACCTGTCTGGAGCCCCAGTGAGGTGAGGACTGGGTGGAGGAGATGATCCTAGTTGGTGGGGAGAAGGGAAATGGGGAGGGGATGGAGAAGCTGAAGTCTCAGAGGCCAGTTCTTCAGGAGTAGAGGGAACAGGGAGGGATAACAGTCACCCTGAATGGGCCCCATAAGGAAGGGCCCTTGTCTATTACAGAAAATCTTACACCTCTGAGAGGAAAGGCAACAAGAGGGGATGTATGCTCAGACCTATTGTTGCCTCATGTAGGTAACTCCCTCCTGTCTCCCCAGGTGAAGCCTGACTGCAGTGCGCCTCTGTGAAGTAGCTGGGCTGCAGGCTCCAATCTGGTCCCAAGTCACCACACCCCCCCATTGTTCCTGCCATGAGGGTGCCCAAGTATATCATTCACTGACCAATAAAGAGTCCTGTATGCTGTACATGTTTCTGGTTCCTGTTACTTCTGGTCTCCTGAAAGCTCTGGGGAAAGCTGGAACTCCCCCTCCCCAGGTGAGAGGAGAGAAAGACCCCTGTGAATCGAGGGGAGCAGGAGTGGGAAGAAGAGGCCCGTTCCCAGGGTTTGTTAGTAGAAATACAATATCACACCTGACTACTGCAGTCTCCACACTGGATCCTGGAAATCTGGAAATCCCTTCCCCACACTTGCAGGCCTACCTACATTCACCCCAACTATTCCTCCAGGTCTGATGGAAGACCCTCAGCTCTGACAGTTCTGCCAGATTCATCAGCCAAATCCTGAAGCCCACTCCACAGTGCCCTCCTCCCCTCTCTCTAAGGGCTCCTAGAACCTAATTATCTCCCAGAAAGATCAGAAAAGTTCTGAGGCAATAGTTACTGAGTGGTCCCTGCTCTTTAAGCATTTCCCCTGCAGAAGCCTGAGGTTCCTCCATTAGCACTTCATCCGTTGGTTAAAAAAAGATCACATTAGCGAAAGATCACATTAACGAAAAGATCAATAAAATCGGCAAACTCTTAGCTAGGCTGACAATGAAAAAGAGAGAGAAGATGCAAATATCGAAAATCAGAAATAAAAGGGGGGACATTACAACTGACCCTACAGAAATAAAAGGGATCATAAGGAACTACTAATGAACCATTGTAAGCAAAAAGAAAAAGATAACTTTGATGAAATGGACAAACTTCTAAAAAACACATAAACTATAGAAATTGACTCAAGAAGAAATAGAAAATCTCAACATACCTATAACAAGGGAAGAGATTGAATCAGTAATCAAAAAAATTCAACAAAAAAGTCCTGGACTAGATGGCTTCACTGGGAAATTTGACCAAATATTTATAGACAAAGTGATACCGATACTTTTAAAACTGTTCCAAAAAACAGAAGAGTAGGGAACAAGTCCAAGCTCACTCTATGAGACCAGCATTATCCTGAAAGCAAAGCCAAACAAAGACAGCACAAGAAAACTGCAGACCAACATCCCTTATAAATAGAGAAACAAAAATCCTCAAAAAAATACTAGCAAACCAAATCCAATAGCATATCAAAAGGATTATACACCATGACCAAGTAGGATTTATTCCAGAAATGCAAAAATGGTTCAACATTAGGCAACCAATCAATGTAATATACCACATGTAAGGTTAGCTATGAGTAGGAATCGACTTGATGGTGATAGTTTTTTTTTGTTTTAACATATCACATTAATAGAACAAAGAAAAGGACCATGATCATCTCAGTTGATGCAGAAAAAGCATTTGACCAAATCCAACACTCTTTAATGGTAAAAACACTCACCTAGGAATAGAAAGGAAATTCCGCAATATGATAAAGGGCACTTACGAAAAACCCACAACTTAACATCATACTCAATGGAAAAGACTGAGAGCTTTTCCCTTAAGACTAGGATGCCCACTCTCACCACTAATATTTAATATTGTACTAGAAGCCCTAGCCAGAGAAATTAGCAAGAAAAATATATCAGAAGTATCCAAATCAGGAAGAGAGAAGTAAAACTGTATCTATTTGCAGATAACATGACCCTATGTATAGAAAATTCCAAAGAAGTCACAAGAAAGTTTTAGAGCTAATAAAATGAACACCCAAATACAAGGTGAGTTTCTATACACCAGCAATGAATAATCTGAAAAGGAAGTTAAGAAAACAATTCCATTTACAATAACATCTAAAAGAATAAAATATTTAGGAAAAAATTTAACCAGGGAGGTAAAACACTTGTACACTGAAAACTATAAAACATTGCTGAAAGAAATTAAAGAAGATCTAAATAAATGGAAAGGCATTCTGTGTTCATGGACTGGAAGACTTAATAGTGTAAAGATGACAATACTACCAAAGCAATCTATAGATTCCACACAATTCCTGTTAAAAATCCAACAGCCTTCTTTGCAGAAACGGAAAAGTCAATCTTCAAATTCACATGGAATTGCAAGGGGCCCCAAACAGCCAAAGCAAAAAGAAGAACAAAGTAGGAGGACTCACACTTTTCGATTTCAAGACATAGTATAAAGCTACAGCAACCAAAACAGCCCAGTGCTAGTATAAAGACAGACACATAGAACAATGGAATAGAATTTAGAGTCTAGAAATAAACCCACAGAACTATGGCCAATTGATTTTCAACAAGGTCGCTGAGTCTATGCAACAGGGAAAGAACAATCTCTTCAATAAATGGTGCTGGGACAACTGGATTTCCACATGCAAATTAACTCCACACGAAAATTAAATCAAATAACTAAATGTAAGAACTAAAACCATAAAATTCTTAAGACGAAACAGAAGCAATCTTTGGGACCTAGCTGTCAACAATTGATTCTTAGATATGACACCAAACACATGAGTAACAAAAGACAAAATACATAAATTGGACTTTATAAAAATTAAAAACTTTTGTGCATCAAAAGACTTTACCAACAAAGTGAAGAGACAACCCACAGAATGGGAGAAAATGTTTGGTAAACATATATCTGATAAGGGTTTAATATCCAGAATATATAAAGCACTCCTACAAATAAGCAACAAGACAAACAACCCAATTAAAAAATGGGCAAAGGACTTGAATAGGTATTTCACCAAAAAAGATATGCAAATGGCCAATAAGCACATAAAAAGATGCTCAATGTCATTAATCATCAGGGAAATGCAAATCAAAACCAAAATTAGATACCACTTCACCCCCACACCAAGATGGCTATTATCAGAAAAAATGAAAAATAATAAGTATTGGCAAGGATGTAGAGAAACTGGAAACCTTATCCATTGCTGGTGAGGTTGAAAAATGACATCGTTGCTGAAGAAAACTGTGGCTGTTTCTTTAAAAATCGAACAAAGAAGCATGCTTGTCCGTTTTCCCATTCTTGTCCGTTTTCCCATTCTTGCCTATTCTGTGACATTCTTTGGATTGGGGCAGACATTCTAGCTCTGGCAGCATGCTTGTCAGCTTCCCACTTTTGTCCTTTTGAATATATGCCAAATAAAACTTTCTTTTTACTTTAAAAAAAAAAAATTGAACAAAGAATTACCATGTTGTTGTTGTTGTTAGGTGCCGTAGAGTTGGTTCCAACTCATAGCGACCCCATGCACAACACAATGAAACACTGCCCACTCCTGTGCCATCCTCACAATCATTGCTATGTCTCAGCCCATTGTTGCAATCACTGTGTCAATCCATCTCATCGAAGGTTTTCCTCTTTTTCACTGACCCTCTACCTTACCAAGCATGATGTCCTTCTCCAGGGACTGGTTCCTTCTGACAACATGTCCAAATTATGTGAGATGAAGTCTTGCCATCTTCGCTTCTAAGGAGCATTCTGGCTGTACTTCTTCTAAGAGACATTTGTTAGTTCTTCTGGCAGTCCATGGTATATTCAATATTCTTCACCAACACCATAATTCAAAGGCATCAATTCTCTGGTCTTCCTTATTCACTGTCCAGCTTTTGAATGCACATGAGGTGACTGAAAAATATTATGGCCTGCCCCTTAGTCCTCAAAGTAACATCTTTGCTTTTCAACACTTTAAAGAGATCTTTTGCAGTACATTTGCCCAATGAATATGTTGTTTGATTTCTGGACTGCTGCTTCCATGCATGTTGACTATGGATCCAAGTAAAATGAAGTCTCTGACAACTTCAGTATTTTCTCCGTTTATCATGATGTTGCTTATTGGTCTAGTTGTGATTTTTTTTTTCTTTATGATGAGGTGTAATCCATATTGAAGGCTGTAGTCTTTGATTTGGATCAGTAAGTGCTTCAAGTCCTCTTTGCGCTCAGCAAGCAAGGTTGTGACATCTGCATACTGTAGGTTGTTAATGAGTCTTCTTTCAATCCTGATGCCACCTTCTTCTTCATATATTTCCTCAGCATATAGATTGAATAAGTATGGTGGAAGGATACAACCCTGACACATACCTTTCCTGATTTTAAACCACTCAGTCTCCCCTTGTTCTGTTAGAACGACGACTGCCTCTTGGTTTATGTACAGGTTCCGCATGAGCATAATTAAGTGTTCTGGAATTCTCATTCTTCCCAATGTTATCCATAATTTGTTATGATCAACAAAGTTGAATGCCTTTGCATAGCCAATAAAACACAGGTAAACATCTTTCTGGTATTCTGTGCTTTCAGCCAAGATCCATCTGACATCAGCAATGATATCCCTCATTCCACTTCCTCTTCTGAATCTGGCTTGAATTGCTGGCAGTTTTCTGTCAGCGTACTGCTGCAGCCGATTTTGAATGATCTTCAGAAAAATTTTACTTGTGTGTGGTATTAATGATACTGTTCAATAATTTCTGCATTCTCTTGGATCACCTTCTTTGGAATGGGCATGAATGTGGCTCTCTTCCAGTCAGTTGGCCAGACAGCTGTCTTCCAAATTTTGGGGCATAGACAAGTGAGCACCTCTAGAGCTGTATCCATTTGTAGAAACATCTCAACTGGTATTCTGTCAATTTCCGGAGCCTTGTTTTTCACCAATGCTTTCAATGCAGCTTGGACTTCTTCCTCAATACCATCGGTTCCCGGTCAT